GATGTAGATGTGGATGTGGATGTAGATGTGGATGTGGATGTGGATGTGGGTGTGGGGGTGGGTGTGGGTGTGTGTGTGTGAGAAAGGTTGTCACAACTTTTTACAAAGGAAAGATCTCAAAGCGCCTTATAGACGTTAGTCGGATTGCCCGATTAATGCCGGGCTCTCCCACTTTTGGTGTTGAAGTTGATCCGCCGCCTGCACTGTCCCAAGTTTTAAAATTCTGATCCAAGAAAACAGGAGCCATTGATTTTCAGCGAATCACACCGACACATTGCCTGCGATTGGATTTTCGTGCCTTGGATTCATTCCCTCTTATTTCAACTTGACTGCTGGATCCAGTTTAGCTACGGTGTCTTAAATCTACCGCCTGCACTCGTTCCAAATTTGAACGCCCCAGGTCAATATTAGCAATTTTCACGTGCGTCTCGCCTTCTTTCAATCATGCCAACTCCCATCAGCATTCCCGTACTGCCATCTTTATTCCTAGCAAATTTGAATGCCCCTGATCCAGAATGATAATTTTCAAGAACGCCCCGCACAGAATTGAGAATTGTCACCTACCATTAGTGTTCTCACCCTGCCAACCCTGTCAACTAAACCCCTAATGAATTCGAACAAGCTAAATGTACGGTGACAGTAATTATGAATTTTCGCTGAAACATAACCCATTATGGGAGGAGTCCAGCCCTGCCCCCTAACATAAGTGTTCCCATCCAGCCGCCTGTACTCCTACTAAATTTGAACGCTCTAGGTGCACAGAAACAAGTGTAATGAGTTTCAGCACAAACCCCGCCCACTTTGGGCGAGGGTCCGGTCTAGCCACCCACCATCAGTGTTCCCATCTTGCCACCTGTACACCTAACAAAATTGAACACTCTAGGTGCAACGGAAAAAGCAGCTGTGAATTTTTGCTCAAATCCCGCCCATTGTGGGCGGAGTCTGACCCTCTACCTACCATAAGCGATCTTGTCCTGCCGTACTCCAATCAAGTTCGAGTGCTCTAGGAACATGGGGACAGGAGTTCTGAATTTTCGCTCAAAAATTGATTTCTCACAAACCCCGCCCCCTTGGCGGAGTCCGATCCTACCACCCACTGAAAGTGTCCCTGTCCTGCCGCCTGTACTCCTACCAAATTTGAACGCTTCACGTTCACGGGGACAGAAGTTATGAATTTTCGGTCAGACACACAAACACACCAATAGACACACTTGGCCGATTACAAAGTAGGATACCATTCGCTGTCACTTATCCCGCCACACTGCACACCACATACTTAATAAACGAAGCTCTAGTACTATCCATAAGTTCATACGCTCTGCGAAACGCACATACCAAAAACAGAAAATATTTCATTACCACTACTGGGTACATTGGGTAATTGAACTACATACATTCAAATACACAAGGATCTATCACTGATGATTGTTTTTCACTGCATCATCTCTAGCCGCCAGCCGGTTGGCGATGAAGCTACGTTGGGCCACCTCGGGTTGTGTATAGGGCCAAAATCGCGGACCAAAAGTCATCGTTGATTGCTCGGAGATTCCTTTCTTTCTCTCTGACGCGTTGGGTCAATTCGAAGCTATTTTCTCAGGTGTAGCCAGGTTTTACTTATCCATGTATGCGTTCGCGGCGCACAGCGGAACACAGCGCAAGATGAACGCGTTTACAAAGGCGTCGACGAAGCCATTCACCCACAAGGACAATCGCGACAGCAGTACCTGGAGTATTTGAATTTTTTTCACACCTACAGGAATGCCACCACACGAACTGCATCTGAAAAAAGGCGCAATAGTCATGCTGCTCAGAAATTTGGACGCCGCAAACGGACTGTGCAATGGAACACGCCTGAAGGTTGAAACGCTTGGACGTTTTACATTAGGTTGCCGATTTATTTGTGGAGATAGGAACAACCAGCTGGCGATAATTTCGAGGTATTGGGATTTGAGGACCCCTTCAGGCTTCGTCGTCGCCAATTTCCAGTGCGCATAGCTTTTGCAATGACGATTAATAAAGCTCGGGGACGGTCGTTCAAGTGGGTGTGTACCTTCCAGAAGACGTCTTTTCCCGTGGCCAACTCTATGTTGCACTCTCCCGTGCAAGAAGACCTGATAGAATAAAAGTGAAGGCCTCCTCGAATAACCTCAAAAACATAGTATTCAGTGAAGTGTTTTAGTGATTATTTTCAAGAGACTATTTTCAAGAGAGTTGAGCCGACTTGAATCGAGTTAACGTGGCGTGGGTTTTTCGAATAATGCCCTTCAGCAACGCAATTATTTTAATGTCAGATGATGAAGAGCAAAGGAAGGTCGTGTGTGGGTGTATGTGTGTGTATATGTGTTTATGTGTATATGTGTGTATGTGTGTATATGAGTGCACGTGTGTACGTGTGTGTATGTGTGTGTGTATCTGTATGTGTATGTGTATGTGTATGTGTATGTGTATGTGTATGTGTATATG